TCTGAATGACCTTTCGCCGAGCAAGGTATTAATGTTCGTTAAGAGCATTGGACTGCACGGTGAAATTTGATAACGATATCTATCGGGGTACAATAGATCCTTAGGGTCGCGGTGCAAGGTTGGTTGGTCCGCCTACCCGATATGTATTCTATGTAATGTAATGTAATGTAAGCTTAGACTTTTTACTCAAGACATAGTATTTTATGGCCGGTATGTGGATGATATCCTAATTATTTACAACGGTAATGCTGCAACATTTCATGCATTAAATAACATCTTCAATAACATTTGCAATTTAAAGTTCACCAATGAACTTGAGAGGGATAATAAAATTAACTTCCTGGACATAACGATCCATAAAGATTCCATTTATGGTTCACTTAACTTTAACATCTACAGAAAAGATACAACAACAGACTGTATTATCCCAAAGAACTCTTCTCATTGTCGACCACATAAGGAAGCTGCCTTCAGATTTCTATTCAACCATTTAATTAATATACCTCTGGACGACAAATCCTTTAATGTTGAATTGAAAAAGATCTTAAAGATAGGCCTAGATAATGATTACACTTTTTCAGAATTACAAAACATCTATTATAGAATATACAGGAACAATATAAATAATATTATATATCCCAGATACTGAGCTAGAAACCAGTATACAGTATTACCTTACCATCCTTATCTGGAAAAGAATTTTAAATACAAAAAACATAATATAACACCCGCTTTTAGATCTAATAACAGCCTTGGGCAATCGTTAATTAACAACAAACATAAGTTCCAATATTGGGAACAAAGCGGTATATACAAAATTGAATGTGGCGATTGTAATATGTTTTACATAAGCCAAACCGGCAGAAGTCCAAAAACGAGATACAAAGAACATATCTCAAAACATAACTCCACATTTTTCAAACACATTACAGAACACAAACATACAACTGACCTAAACAACTTGAAAATTCTTAAAATACTGACTAAATGGATATATGGGAAAAATTTTACATAAAGAGCAATGAACATGAAAATCTATTAAATGATATAACTGAATTTAACCATAACCATAATTTAAATTGAGTTGATGGCAGTTTTGCAAGCACTTCAAGTTGTGATATCGCTATGTTAATTATCGATATACCAAACTTATTTATAAAATCTACAAGAATGCTACAATGACGGTAAAATTGCATGAAAGTACTGAAGAGATTAGAAGTAGTAAAGTACTAATTGTGAGTAAAACAAGGCGATACACTGTTGAATCCAAATTATTCATTACAGCCCTGGAGAGTGCATTTAAACAACTGAATTGGACCCAAAAAGGCATAAACATTGATGGCAAATGCCTAACTAATTTGCGCTACGCGAACGATATAGTTCTTATTTCGGATAGCCTTGGAGAGATTAAACTAATACTGAACGACTTAAAGGAGGTGTGTGCAGGAGTTAGGCTAAATATCAACGAGGAGAAATTAAAATTGCTATGTATATCATGGCTATGAGGTTCGTGTATCGAAAGATAATCAAACAAGCGAAAGGATCACACTCATATGGGCAACCTACGGGAAACTTAGAGACATCTTCAAGAGAAAAGGCTAAGGAATAATACTCTTTTTCCAATAATATTCGTTTAACTGTCTGTTTGAACCTTTTGTTATTCAACTCTTTTATTTTTGATGGCAATGCATTGTACAATTTGACCGATATATAGTTTAAAGTATTCTGAGATTTAAACTAAGATTAGAACTAAAACTAGAACTAACACTAGAAACTTTCGGGTTTTGCCGTGCGTCTTTTAATAAAATGTTTGACGTTTCGGATGCCATGTTGCAACCTTCTTCAGAAACTGGTTCGAAGTGACGAGATCAAAAAATCGGTAATTATATATAAGTCGGAAAAACTAATTAATAATCAGTTAACGCTAATTACTAACTAATTAATAACTAATTGCGTCGCGTCCGGTGTGAGGCGGGAAGAGGTCTTCGTGTTCACCACCATCTTCCATGTTCTGCTAAGCTCCCAGCCATCCTCTCTGTTGACGTTATTATTATGTCGGTGAATCTCTATGGCTTCTCTTGTCAGTCATTGGCAGTATCTGTTGTCCCTAGCCAGCACCTTTGTTTGTTCGAAGTCTATTCGGTGCCCCTCTGCATGGCAATGTTCCGCAACCGCCGACTGCTGGATCTTCTTCAGCCTTACATCCCTCTCAGCTTAGCAGAACATGGAAGATGGTGGTGAACACGAAGACCTCTTCCCGCCTCACACCGGACGCGACGCAATTAGTTATTAATTAGTTAGTAATTAGCGTTAACTGATTATTAATTAGTTTTTCCGACTTATATATAATTACCGATTTTTTGATCTCGTCACTTCGAACCAATTTCTGAAGAAGGTTGCAACATGGCATCCGAAACGTCAAACATTTTATTAAAAGACGCACGGCAAAACCCGAAAGTTTCTAGTTTTAGTTCTAATCTTAGTTTAATGCACACCGGCCGTGAAAGCCTTCGTACTTATATTATTCTGAGATTTTTTGATTCTGTGATATGGTATTAACAGACTGCTTCAATGGCGCATGTTGTAAATATGTAGGTCTTCGTTCTTGGGCAATGTGTCTTTCTTCGTATGAACATAAACTAGGCAAGTAAGTATGACAAGATCCGTATCATTTCTTTTGCATTTTAAATATGTCGTACATATCATTTGACCCTCCCCAGATAGATATGCCATACGTTAGAGAAGTAGACGCTTTTTGTTTCATTTGTCGGTACATTTGTAGATATAACCTTTATACAGTATATTGAATTTGATAATTTTCTTTTTAAGTTTGTTACATGGTCCGACCACGTTAATGTTTCGGACAGTATAATGCTTAGAAAATTTCAACGTCTTTGTCTCTTTTTGTAGAAAAAGTTAGTATTTTGGTTTTATTTGCATTTAATTTCATTTTGTTCATGTCAAACCATTTTTTTGCATCGGCTAATGATGTTTGTGTTTTATTTTTAAGTTGCTGAATATCATTTCCTTGGTTAATAACAGACGTGTCATCTGCATAGAGACAAATGGAAAGTGCTGCTTAGAAGTTGTAGTCTCCAATTGTAACACGATATCTTTGTTTTGTCTTTGTTCTTTCTTAGTCCTTCCTCTCTTTCAGCAGTTTCGAAGATTCCAAAGGTTTCCTTGGTCGCTTTTATTCATCTGCCAATGATGATAAGGTCATCTGCATATTCCACCGTTTCATCCAATTTGCTATTAAATTGACGCCGATTCTTTTTATAACTTATATGATAGGTAGTTGTTTTCCGCGCATACTTATATATGTATGCGCAAAAAGGTTCAGAACTATTCGGAACTACTACTTTGCTCAACTTTCTTAGCTCATATATCCCACAAACTCAAAATGTTGTCTTTGAATAGTCAAGCCATAATATCTTATCAGTTCATTGTTTTTTATCAATTTCAAAATAATCATCACGTTTGTAATAATGACTCGCCTGACAATATGATACCATTTGAAGAATACAATTGGTTTTAAAAACCGATTTTAATTTTAGAGTCACGAGTCGTTTACGTACTAAACAAGGCTTCACGCTTCCTTCCTTTCCATTTTTAAATATACTCTTTCTCCACTTGAAAAAAAAATGAATCGATTCGGTAATACGCACCAACGAACAACAATAGAGCCATGCAGGAAATTCCTTTTGATAAATATCCGCTTCGTTAGTCACTCAACACATTTCACATTGTTGAAAATTAAATCATATCATAACACTGTCGGTAGTGATAATGATACGAAATTGCTACAAAAACGATTAGTACCATATTTAATGAAATTATGTTTACTTAACGGGTTAAGTAAAGAGTTTTAAATCAGTAATATAAACACTTTAAGTAAAGCAAAAATTAATTAAAATTATTTCATGTGTTTTTTTAAAAATAAACAATGTTTATACTCCAATATATTTTATATATTTATTAACTCTACCGGTTTAGACCATCGTCAGGAGTCTCATTGTATAAGATTGAGGTTAGGAAACACATTTAAATGTACATTCAATTCTACTACATCCCAATTCTCGTTTTCTAAGTTTAGTTCATTAATGATATATCAAAATTTGAATGTGTTTCCTAACCTCAACCTTATACAACGAGACTCCTGACGATGCTCTAGGCCGAAACCGGTAGAGTTAATAAATTTATAAAATATATTGGAGTATAAACATTGTTTATTTTTAAAAAAACACATATAACATACCAATATGGATGAAACCCCATTTACCTATTAAAATTATTTCAATTACCGTTTTATTTCTCAATATATACTTTGACGCAATTCTAATGCAAAATCGTAAGTTGATAACCTTTTCGATATGTAATCGATATTTTAATAAATTTGATTGAGTTAATAGCAACAATTATTAGTATTAATTTCTGTTTAAAATAATTAAAGAGGTTTCCCAATTATCTACTTCAAAATAGTTACAAATCGTCTTAAATTACATACAATTCTAAAACAACAACTTATTAAAAACTTATTACAATTGTAATGACTAAAACAACAATTAGAATTAATTCAAAGTTGAATAAACTTAATATCTACATAGTTATAGTCTTGTAAATAAGTATTGTATTATATATGTATGTACATAATTTAATTTGTCAGTATACAATAATATCTTATCTCCGTTAAAATCCTTCTTAAAGCGTGAACTCTTGATCGTTGACATGAACGATTTTGAACACAAAACAAGTCAAGGTTAAACGAACCAAAACACCTCAATATTTAAATTTACGAAATCTTTTACAATCATTTCCAACTAAAAGAATCACCTTTTGGGTGATATCTTCCCTAAAACTTCACCTTGATCGAGCAAAAATCGATTTCATTTTTCACAATAATCCATTTCATACAAAAAAACATCTTATTTATAAGAAATCCTTCAAGAGATACAGCTGCTGGCTGGTACATTTTGATTAATAAGTTAAATCAAACTTACCGTATGCGTTCGGTACTTTTCAGTTAAGTAGGTGGATTTTCGTATCGCAGATGGTAACGGAGCATCTCAGGAGGATGGCACGCACGTTTTAATTTGAAAATGCGTGTGGAAACGAGCTGGTTACGCGTTTTCAATAGACAATCCCGATCGAACTTGGATCAAAATAAAACTGACAGGTGCCAGTGGTGGTGTTGCGCAGCTGCTGCGACTCCTGGGATCAATCGGGGACACACATGCTCGATTTTAACCGATGTTTTAGCGGGAAAATTAAATTCTCTTCAGTGGTAAGTACGAATTTGATGTTTTATACAATAAAGGTCGCTGAAAATAAATACTAAAGTAGTATTCTAAAAATGACATCTGTCAAATTTGTATCTTTAAATTTGACTTTTGACGTTACCCTTACACGATCGACTAGTTAAAAATTATTAAAATTTAAATTTATTATGCGAATTTTATGATTTACTTTTGGTATTAAATTACAAATACATTTCACAAATATTATTATTATACCTACTTACAAATATTATACATTTAATTAAATATTGTGATTTGAAACAGAACGCTACTTAAAGATGGCGCTAGTGCGAAATTGTAAATTTAAAATGTGCTGAGTGATAGTCCGCGTGTGTATATTGAAAAATTAACTAGTAATAAAGGTCAAAATCAGTCAAAAGTGTCGTTAGAACAAACTTTATGATAAACTTTTGTACACTTAGAAGGATTTGGTGGTGGTGAGTTTGAAATTTGATGTTTTATAAAACAGAGGTCGCTGTAAATAATCACGAAATTAGCGGTAAAGCAGTGCTCTAATACTTCATCTGTCAAATTTGTGCTTGATGTTTTGTATTCGCTTTTTATCTTCGAATTTGACGAGTGCTACGTTGAACAGTAAAAGTTTTCGTTAATTATTATTACACATATACAATATGTCTAAAGGAACTGGGACAAAACTTAATTTAAAGGATAAAATTAATGATGGTGTGATAGATCTTAGTTTATGTGAATTGCAAGATGTTCCTGTTAAAGAAATCGTAAGTAGCCTCTTATTTTTAAATACGGAATTATCCGTAAAGTAGATAATACGACATCTATCAAATTAGTATCTTTAAATTTGATAAGTACGAAGGCTTTAAATTTGACTTTTGACGTTAGGCTTACTTGATCGACGAACAAAAGATGGCGTTAGTTAGAAATTATTAAAATTAAAATTTATTATGCGAATTTTATTATTTATTTTTTGTATTAAATTACAAATACATTTCACAAATATTATTATTATACATATTTACAAATATTAAACATTTAAATATTGCGATTTGAAACAGACCGCTAATTAAAGATGGCGTTAGTCCGAAATAGTAAATTTAAAATTTAAAACTGACAGTACTGATGCGTATATTGAAAAGTTAACTAGTAATAAAGGTCAAAATCAGTCAAAAGTGTCGTTAGAACAAACTTTATGATAAATTTTTGGACGCGTTAGATGAACTTGGTGGTGGTGAGTTTGAAATTTGATATTTTATAAAACAGAGGTCGCTGTAAATAAACACGAAATTATCGGTAAAGCAGTATTCTAATACTTCATCTGTCAAATTTGTGTTTGATGTTTTGTATTCGCTTTCTATCTTCGAATTTGACGAGTGCCACGTTGAACAGTAAAAGTTTTCGTTAATTAATTTTTTAATTATTATTACACGTACACAATATGTCTAAAGGAACAGGGACAAAACTTAATTTAAAGGATAAAATTAATGATGGTGAGATAGATCTTAGTTTATGTGAATTGCAAGATGTTCCTGTTAAAGAAATTGTAAGTAGACTCTTATTTTAGCTTTATCTTATCTTGAAAATGTATTTATTTATTATCAAGTGAAGAGTAAATATAACATTTTTAATTTAATACGATTTTAGGCATCCATAAGAAACATCCACAGTTTAGATTTATCAACCAATCATTTAATAAAATTACCGGTAAGTTAATCTTTCTAAATTTCTCAAAATTAATCCAATTTGTTACAGAATAATTTTGTTACATTGACACATTTAACAAAACTCGATTTAAGCAAGAACAAACTCAGGATATTACCAGAAGACTTTGGAAATTTAACCAAATTAAGACACTTAGACTTATATAAAAATGAAATAGAATTTTTACCGTTAAGTTTTCACAAATTGAAAGCACTACGTTGGTTAGATTTAAAAGATAACCCCTTACCGCCATCGATAAAGGCGATAACAGGCCCTTGTCTAGACAAGGCTGAGTGTCAGCGTTGCGCTATTGAGGTAGTCAAGTTTTTCATTGAGTTCAATGATAGTTTAAACGTTGAACTAAAAAAACGCGAAGAACAAAGGCAACAGTCGAAAATGGCTAAAGAACAAGCAGAACAAAAGTTGAAAATTCAAGAGAAAAAGAAGAAAAAGAAAATTGAAAAGAAAGCTAAAGAAAATGTAGAAATTCAAAGTGGATTAAGTAATTATAATAAAGTTAGTTCCATTGGAAATTTAAGGAAAAGCGGTAATTCTAAAGTGGAAAAGAAAAAGCAAGGGAAATCCTGTTGTCGACGATTTTTAGGGGGCCTTTTCTGGATGGTTTTTTTAATGATGATCATTTTCGTTGGAAGTACTTTTAAGCATGATGTAATCGAGAAATGTTTGGAGAATTTGGAGAATAAGTGGAATTTTGTGGTGGAAAATTTGCCAACTGAGGCACAAAAACCCGCCTTGGACTTTGGGAAACAAATTTGTAAATACCACCAAGAGACTGGAGAACTTGTTAGTAAGGTTGTAAAGAATATCAGCGATATGATTGCTGATAAAGATTTATTTTTTGATTATTTAGCGTATTATAAAAATAAATTGAGCGAAAATGTTAATTATTTTTATACGAAATATGCGTCGTGAATTAATTTAATATAATAAATTGCATAAAACGTCATTCTTAAATAAATTAATTTGAAAAAATTACTTTTGGAGATTCATAATTATTCATATTAACCTAAGTAGCGTTTATGTAATGGGTAAAGGTCTTGTCTAAAGGTTATATTGTGACATTTCTGTGATACACGTGCATTATTTTTTGATAGCTGATATCTTTGAAGTACTTATACAAATATAAATGTGTTTTTTTTTTTAAATATGTACCAGCAAAACCTTTTACTTTTATCTTATGTGTGTGCAAAAGACTGTAGTGATGTTTCAACAAGAATACAAGAAATTATTTATTTTAAATTCTATACCATGGACTGGAATAAAATCGCAGACGATTAGAAATTTGTAAAGCAACACATTATGTGAGCTAATATGGTAAAGAATACACTCAACAAGAATGGAAGGACTTGATTTGTAATTGTAGAAAGAGAAAACCTTTCCTTGTGAGGAATATGATTGGGAAGTGATGTATTATGTTGCGTATTTTGGGTTGCCTACCCTTGGGGTGTATGTATTAAGAGATCTTGGGTATCATTTCTCTCTTCAATGGCGCTACAAACGAAATTGAGCTTTAGCCTCCTTTATCTTTTACCTCCCACATTGCCGATCAAGAGCTACTCTCTTCCAGGTTTTGACGCTTATTAATCGTAACTTTAGAACTCCAAAGGTTTAGGGCACATGTAGGTCCTTAATGAACCTTAGTATTGTCCTGAGGTCTTGAACCTTTATGTCAGTAGGTAACAAGGGAGTTTTACCGAAAATGTTGTGTTTTAGACGGCCTCTAGCGACGCAATTGCACAGTATATGTTTAGCAGTTTCTGACTCGTCGTTGCATAGTCGACAAGTTTGATCCTCAGCTTGTCCAATGTGGAAGAGGTGGTATTTTAGGGGCGCATGGCCGGTCAGGTAGTCTGAGAGCGTTCATAGATCCCCTTTGCTGAGGCATAAAACCTCTTTGATTTTGTTATCATACTCTTCGCTTGTTTGTGATCTGGAAGTTCTTTCCAGCGTAAGGCGTAAGTTGTGGATATTTGTTTTAAGTGGCTTTTTTGTAGTCCACAACCAGGTTGGGGTCCAATGAAGGGCGTGTTCGCTGCCTCTTTGGCCAGCTTGTCGGCCTTCTCATTGCCCTCAATGTTGCTGTGACCTGGAACCCACCATAGGGTAACATAGGGTACACTCTCTGATCAGTGCGGAGTCACACGTGTAGGCCTGAATTGCCTTTAAGGCGGCCCGACTATCTGTGAAAATGTTTATGGATGCACCTTTTTGTCCCTTCTGTAGGTTCAAAGCGGTGCAGAAGTTTATAGCAAGAACTTCTGCTTGGAAAATTGTTAAGTCCGAGCTGAGGGGCAATTTGATGTGGTTATTTGGTCCACTGATGCCTATGTCTACTCCAGATCTTACTGTCTTTGAAGCATCGGTGTACCAGGGTAGGGCTCCTCTTTTTAGTTGAGGCCCTCCCTTCGCCCCATCATCCCTGCTTCTAAATATGACATTATACGGCTGGTTGAAGTTGTATTCAGTCGGTATGAGGTCCGTTTTAATTTCAATCAGGTGATTTAGACATGGGTCCTTGAGGATCTCGAGGTGTCCTCTGAGGTTACTCTGCATCAACTTGAGTGAGGAAACTTTTTTCAGTGATAAGGCACTTAAGGCTGCCTAATTTTGTATAGGTACATAAATGGAGCGGTGTGACCGAGTAGGGCTTCCAAAGCAGGCGTCGGACAGGATCTAATTTGCACCCGTTATGTTAAGACATGCTAACCGCTGGATTCGTGCCAGCTGTTGTTGTACTGCCTTATGTTTTGTTTTTGGACACCAAACCAAAAAGGCTTCCCTCTTGGTCTCTTGCTATTTTGTAATCTATTCATGCCACATGACCAGCCCATAGATCAGATAGGAACTTTCTTGACCACGTGTTGTAGCATCTTCTCCATATCCCATTCTCCTTTATTGGACCAAAGATTTTCTTCAATATTTTTCTTTCAAACTTTCAGCTTATTGTTTGTGCTCTCTGTCATAATCCATGTCTCACGTCCATTGCAGAGAATAGGTCTAATGATGTCTTTTAACGCTCTAATTTTTGCGTGTCTATGAAAATACGATATAGTTTTGGAAATAAAATGATAACATCATTAAAAAAAATCAAAATATACTCCCTAACAAAAAATAATTTGGAAATTGTGCAGTTGTCTTAGTGTTCCAACCTCGAATGAGACGTTAGCATTGGATGCTATTTCACATTTAAATTTAAAATAATTATTGTTGTCTTTTTGTAAGACCAAGTTTTATTGGCGAAGGAAGAATCATTTTAATGTCCTTTTTGGAGACAATGGAAATATCTGGTTCATCAGGCGTAATAAAACGCTCAAAGCACTTTGCACTTTTCCTTAAGAATGTCACTTGAAAGTCATCTTCTCATACTTGAGAAACGACCTTTCCAACATAATATACAGATTGTTAACTTGCCTTGAATTCCACTAGAACTTATTCGTCACGAACAGGATTACGATCAAAGTCACGGAGGCTTAAAATTTCGGGTTCAGCTTCTTAAAAGCTCCGCTGCTAGAATCTTTTAGTTCGATCTCTTCGACTTCTTCCGAATCGCCAACCAATATTTTCTTTAAATTTCTGTTTTTAAGCACCAAAATCTTTTCAGATGTGGCTTGTGTTTTGCGTAGATTTTCTAGGTCCAGCTTTCGGGTAGCCCTTAAAAATAGTTGGCTTCATAAAAGTATTATTGGGGATATTGTTGAATATATTGACATATTTAAAGGCTTAATTGTAGCATCAAATATTTTGTTATGGCGCTCTACATCTTTATTTGCGGGGGTTTTTCTATCTATCACTAAACTTGCCATGAAATCTTCCTCATTAAAAATGAACTTGTCAAATGAGAAAATAATACTGGTTTTTCTAAATGTTCGAAGCTGTTTCATCAATCCAACATCTAAAGACTGTGGTTTGTTCGTACGGTGGGGTGGAATAGTTAATATTGTAATACCATTATTTTTACACAAATCGATTGCCTCTATTGAAAGATGATTTTGATGGTTATCCATGATGAGCAGCGAGAGATTTTATTTAGAGCTATTGGTGTGCTTTATACAATGCATGACAGTTTTCACAAAACATTCCGTGTTCATCCAGCCCCCATTTGATGCTAAGCTAAGGGTGTCNCGGAGCCACACGTGTAGGCCTGAATTGCCTTTAAGGCGGCCCGACTATCTGTGAAAATGTTTATGGATGCACCTTTTTGTCCCTTCTGTAGGTTCAAAGCGGTGCAGAAGTTTATAGCAAGAACTTCTGCTTGGAAAATTGTTAAGTCCGAGCTGAGGGGCAATTTGATGTGGTTATTTGGTCCACTGATGCCTATGTCTACTCCAGATCTTACTGTCTTTGAAGCATCGGTGTACCAGGGTAGGGCTCCTCTTTTTAGTTGAGGCCCTCCCTTCGCCCCATCATCCCTGCTTCTAAATATGACATTATACGGCTGGTTGAAGTTGTATTCAGTCGGTATGAGGTCCGTTTTAATTTCAATCAGGTGATTTAGACATGGGTCCTTGAGGATCTCGAGGTGTCCTCTGAGGTTACTCTGCATCAACTTGAGTGAGGAAACTTTTTTCAGTGATAAGGCACTTAAGGCTGCCTAATTTTGTATAGGTACATAAATGGAGCGGTGTGACCGAGTAGGGCTTCCAAAGCAGGCGTCGGACAGGATCTAATTTGCACCCGTTATGTTAAGACATGCTAACCGCTGGATTCGTGCCAGCTGTTGTTGTACTGCCTTATGTTTTGTTTTTGGACACCAAACCAAAAAGGCTTCCCTCTTGGTCTCTTGCTATTTTGTAATCTATTCATGCCACATGACCAGCCCATAGATCAGATAGGAACTTTCTTGACCACGTGTTGTAGCATCTTCTCCATATCCCATTCTCCTTTATTGGACCAAAGATTTTCTTCAATATTTTTCTTTCAAACTTTCAGCTTATTGTTTGTGCTCTCTGTCATAATCCATGTCTCACGTCCATTGCAGAGAATAGGTCTAATGATGTCTTTTAACGCTCTAATTTTTGCGTGTCTATGAAAATACGATATAGTTTTGGAAATAAAATGATAACATCATTAAAAAAAATCAAAATATACTCCCTAACAAAAAATAATTTGGAAATTGTGCAGTTGTCTTAGTGTTCCAACCTCGAATGAGACGTTAGCATTGGATGCTATTTCACATTTAAATTTAAAATAATTATTGTTGTCTTTTTGTAAGACCAAGTTTTATTGGCGAAGGAAGAATCATTTTAATGTCCTTTTTGGAGACAATGGAAATATCTGGTTCATCAGGCGTAATAAAACGCTCAAAGCACTTTGCACTTTTCCTTAAGAATGTCACTTGAAAGTCATCTTCTCATACTTGAGAAACGACCTTTCCAACATAATATACAGATTGTTAACTTGCCTTGAATTCCACTAGAACTTATTCGTCACGAACAGGATTACGATCAAAGTCACGGAGGCTTAAAATTTCGGGTTCAGCTTCTTAAAAGCTCCGCTGCTAGAATCTTTTAGTTCGATCTCTTCGACTTCTTCCGAATCGCCAACCAATATTTTCTTTAAATTTCTGTTTTTAAGCACCAAAATCTTTTCAGATGTGGCTTGTGTTTTGCGTAGATTTTCTAGGTCCAGCTTTCGGGTAGCCCTTAAAAATAGTTGGCTTCATAAAAGTATTATTGGGGATATTGTTGAATATATTGACATATTTAAAGGCTTAATTGTAGCATCAAATATTTTGTTATGGCGCTCTACATCTTTATTTGCGGGGGTTTTTCTATCTATCACTAAACTTGCCATGAAATCTTCCTCATTAAAAATGAACTTGTCAAATGAGAAAATAATACTGGTTTTTCTAAATGTTCGAAGCTGTTTCATCAATCCAACATCTAAAGACTGTGGTTTGTTCGTACGGTGGGGTGGAATAGTTAATATTGTAATACCATTATTTTTACACAAATCGATTGCCTCTATTGAAAGATGATTTTGATGGTTATCCATGATGAGCAGCGAGAGATTTTATTTAGAGCTATTGGTGTGCTTTATACAATGCATGACAGTTTTCACAAAACATTCCGTGTTCATCCAGCCCCCATTTGATGCTAAGCCAAGGGTGTCTGGTGGAGCCCCATTGATCATAATGTCCTTAAAGTGGACACGGGGAAATATCATGGCTAGTGGAATGATAATGCCAAAAGCCCCTACGATACAACATATACAGCCTTACTGACTTGACGTGAACCTTTTTCGGCAAATACTAAACCAATGTGGACGTGTTTTCGATGAAATTTTACCTAAATCCTGAATTATATTCACCTAAACTGTGATAGGTCGTTTATTGTTATACTTGGAGTACGTTCATATTTCAAACTATCGTCTCGGTGTTCCGACCGTCTCACTGTTACTACCTCTCTCCTATTATATATAGTTCGAATTTTGTTCATTTTGGTCTCTTCTCCAGAAATTCACCTCCACAGCTTATAACAAGTCTTCTAATTATTTAATAAATAAAATTCGTTTTTACACTTAAATGGATTTTTATTTAATTTTTCTCTCAACCGGTTTCGCTATACATTTACACCATCTTCAGGAGATTACGTCATTTTGTTACAAACGTGTCCTATAAAATAACCAATTAACAACACCATATTATCCTTTCACGTAGTAAACTTATATACCAACATTCCTACCAAACAAACGCTAGAAATTGTCGAAAACATTTTAAATTCACAACTAGAAAACAAGAATGATAGCAAAAACATATTTAACCTATTCCAAATCTGCTTACAACAGAACTTCTGTAAATTTCAAAATGAAACATATACATATCAAGAGGGACTCCCCATGGGCTCTCCTTTAAGCGGATTATTAGCTGACATCTTTTTGAATGAGTTGGAAACCAATCTCATAATGAGTGAAAAAAACCCTTATCTCAAAAATATATTAATATGGCAACGCTATGTCGATGACATTTTGGTCATCATTAACACCGAAAAGAAAGAAACTGTTGACGGTTTACACCAATGCATTAACACACTACACACAGACATCCAATTTACAATAGAACTCGAAAACAACAATAAATTAAATTTTCTTGATATCATAATAGACAAAACCAAACATGACGTACAATTCGAAATATACAGAAAACCGACTCAGACAGACACTACTATCCCATACGATTCTTTTCATAACATAACCCATAAAATGGCAGCATTCAGATCATACATCCATAGAGCCTATAATTCAAATTTGAACACAGAAAATTTTAACAAAGAAATTAAGATAATAAAAGATATTGTCATAAATAATTCTTTTCCAGAAGAAGTAATAGACAGAGTGATCCATAAATATCAAAATAGACAGAACTTAAATACCACTATACAACTACAAAATCAACAGACACAAAAAATCAAAAACTACAGATCCATCACACACCATTAACAACAAAATAACAGTATGACATTATAATTACAGATAAACCAAGTAAAACCATAGGCAATCTGCTCATAAACAATAAAGACAAATTAGATGATAATGGAGTGAACCTACATCGGAGAGACAGGCAGAGCCTTTAAACTACGATTTAGATAACACAAAATAAAACATAATTCTAATTTTGGCAAACACATAACCTTTAATCTTAACCACGAGTTCGATGAAGATAAAAATACAAAAATACTACATCACATTAACAAAGGATATCTCATGGAAATCCTCGAAGGATATGAAATCAAAAAATTCATCAATAATAACCCTGACTTGACATGTCTTAATGACCAAATTCAGACAACATACAAACCACTCTACTCTTTCCTAAAACAGCCCTACACCCCACCCTGTAAATCCCCAGATAGACGAGGACTTCAAAACACGATGTCATTTTGAAGTCGCACTAATCTGGGTCCCATGGACATCACCCCCCCATCCTTCCCACCCTATCCTCATCCCATAACAATCATTAAAAGTTAGTACAGAATCTATAATTTACCTCTACCCAACAAATACCCCCCAGAGAGACGAGGATTTCAGAATAAGATGTCGCTCTTAATAATCTATAGATTCTGTATTACAACCTACCCTAATAATACGCCCCAGTTTAAATGACACATTTTATAGGACACGTTTGTAACAAAATGACGTAATCTCCTGAAGATGCTGTAAATGTATAGCGAAACCGGTTGAGAGAAAAATAAAATAAAAATCCATTTAAGTGCAAAAACGAATTTTATTTATTAGATATAAAATGGAAAGAAAATCATTAAACAATATTCTAATTATTTGGTTAGTTGCAAGATTTTATTTTTTGTAGCCGATCTAACTTAAGTCTTCTGGATCTATTAATTTCCTTGTCATCCTCGTCCTGGGCCACTACTAACCTGGTCATTTCTTAAATGTAGACATACATCGTTGTTTATTCGTCAAATTCTATACCCATTCCTCTATATTTATTCCTGCATTCATTAAACGTGATCTGCGCTCCAAACAGTGATTACAAGTGATAATGAGTATGTTTATATCCCATTTTTGCTTCTTTATACAGTATGGTATGATATCGTAGCGTGTCCATAAAGTCATGGTGCACTTTTGACCGGCCACAGCAAAGCAAGATAGAATTGTGAAATCTTCACCAAAGTGTGATTCGATGTGGCATCCATTTATTTCCCAACAACGATAATCACGTTCTTCCCACACACATTTAAGGACGTCTAGAAGTCTAGTTGTTCTTGCGTTTAAGTCTCCTAAGGCTATTATTTTTTGCCATTACTTAATATGCTTATATTAATGTACAGTGGCTGATTTATAACTTTAATTTACATATCATATACATAGTTTAACATATCGTAACTAAAATATATTAGCAATTTCCGAACAACAAGGAGGGAGGACATATTAGAATGTTGGCTGCGTGGGCGAATAAGGTTATGGGACAGATTTGGAGATGGGGTGAGAGGATGTTTGGGAAAGATGTGGGAAAAAGGTAATTAATGTTCGTGAGCTTGATAAAAAGCGTAATGATGTAGGAGGTAGAGATATAGGGATGGAAGGAGCAAGGGCTCTTAGAGGATGTGCAGACCAGGTACTGAAGGTGGGTGTTGGGGTTGGCTAGGGAGAGTCCGGGATATATAGTTAGGGAAGAAAGGAAGGTAGGTAAGGTGAGGATGGAGGCGGGTAAGCGAGCGATGCATTTTGAGGAGAGGATGGAACGTACATGTCATTGTAAAATCTTGGGGAGTGCTACAGATAGATTAAGGCAAGTAAGGGGCGCTATAGGCAGCGAGAAAGGGAGAAATACTACAGAAGGGTGGGGTATTTAAAAGAAGAAGCGAAAAGAAAAGAGGATTGAGATGTGGAAACAAATGGAGAACAGGGACAGGGATGTGGGATTGCAAGAGAGAAGGACGACGATAAGGGAAAGCAGGTACAATCCAAAATATAATAAAATTGTATTAGAGGGGTTCCAAAGTACATGACGACGGAGGGGATGAGGAGGGGAAGAGTACCAACCTCTTAGTCAGGTTTAGGTATGGAAATGAAGAAAGGGCCAACAGATATTGGATGGAAGATGAGTTTCTGCACCATCTGCTGGTGGAGTGTAGTGAGTTGAGGGAGGAGGTAATGGATAGGAGACAGGTGTTCGGGGAGAGGGCGGAGGCAAAGAGATAGATGGGGGAGGTGGTGGCAGCAAGGAGACGTAGGGTGATAGGGAGAGGCTGGGGAAAGGGGTAGGATTTAGATTAGTTATGGATAATGTTATTATTCTTTGTAATATTATAATCTTCTGGAGACAATAAATTATTATTAATTATTAGCAATTTCCGAGATGTAATAGCAGGAATTAGACTTTAAATACACTTGAATATATAACAAAATTTATTAATGCACATGAAAACACTAAATTACATTGATATGGTGTTATTTAATTAAAAATATGAATTAATGACGCTTAAATTTGGGTTTCTCTCCACCACATAATTTAAGAATACCCTTAAAAACTAATTTGCACATCTTAAAACTTAAATAGATCACAACAAACAGCACCAACAATAAAAATCCAATAACATCCAAAAGAAAATATTCATAAAAAGGCATTTCAATAGCTGCGCTTCGATAATGTTTGGCACCTTTATGTCTTATAACGTGCTCCGTCCACCAAACGGCTTTTTCCAACCCCGTCATTGGTTCGTCTTGTAATAATTCGGCCAATTTTTTAACATTCTCCCGATACCTAAACAAAATCAACTTTATTTAATAACTCTTAATTAAAAATTACTTACTTCTTATTTTCCATAACTTCGAGTATGGAGGATTTAAACGATTCTTTGGTGAGTTCTTTATGGTCGACTTTCACAGCGATATCTTTCAAAACGATCCTTTTCGCGTTACCTTCTTGGTCGGCAAAGAAAGGCATAACAACCATTGGAACGTGACTAAAAATTGCTTCTTCGATAGATTGATGACCAGCTTGAGTAATGAACAATTTTATTTTCGGGTGCCCTAAAATTTAAAATTTTTAAATCAAATCATGTTGCTTAAAATAGTAATAATTATACTGAGAACGTCTTGTTGAGGTAACCATTTCATTATTTTAACGTTTTTGGGTTGATTTGGTAAAGAATCCGCTTCGAATTTCCATAAAATCGTGTATGGTAGTTCGGCAAAAGTTTCGGTTATTATTTGCCGGGTTGAAGGGATGATGTCTTTACTTTTCACGTTACTTCCCAAACTGAAGTAAATTACGTCGGATGGTGCGTTATCCAAGAAGGATTTTAAATCCTTTAATTATAATAAATGAGAATTAATGAATATAAAAGTATCTGGTATCTAAGGACGGTAGAATCTAAGTATTCTGTTACATTCAGGGAATAGATGCATAGCTCGACGGCCCGATTGTGACGTCACGCATGGGTAGGCAACTACTATTTCACACTTTGAATTAGCAAATGCTTAATTTATTCTAATCCTGTTTTGCAATTTTGTAAATTTGAGACTTAATAAGGTGGTAATACAGCCGTGGGTCTTTTATGACGGATAAACTCGAATGTTTTCAGTTCCAGGTCCAGTATTAGTTAGAATAACAATTAAAATTAAAACTAATATTAGACTTAGAATTAGAAACATTCGGGTTTAGCCGTGCGTTGCTTAAGACGGCTAAATCCGAATGTTTCTAGCTGTTAAGTCTAGTGTTAGTTCTGGTTTTACACTTGCACTGTCACTAGAACTAACATTAGACCTAGAACTAGAAACATTTGAGTATAGCCGTGCATCTTATAAGACGGCTAAAGCTGAATGATTCCAGTTCTTGATCTAGTGTTAGTTCTACTTTTAGTTCAATAAAAATATACAACAATCTAGCGCTGCATAACAATTAGAAGACGCACTATCACTTTACACTAGCACTATCACTAAAACTAGCACAAGACCTAGAACTAGAATCATTCGGGTTTGGCCGTCTTGAGAGACGTGCGGCTAAACCCGAATGTTTCTAGTTCTAGGTCTAGTGTTAGTTCTAGTTTTACACCAGCACTGGCACTAGAACTAGAATCATTCGGGTTTAGCCATCTTGAGAGACGTGGGACTAAATCCGAATGATTCTAGTTCTCGACCTAGTGTTAGTTCTAGTAGCAGTGGTAGGTAGCGCTAGTTAGCATAAGATATTACTATGTTGTATATTTTTATTGAACTAAAGTTCAATAAAAATATACAACATATACACTAGAACGACAACTAGAATCATTCGGGTTTAGCCGTGAAAAAAACTTTCAGTTGTCAATTTCAATATCAACTTTAATTTTATTATTATATTCGTAATCTTCATAAAATAACCTTTAAAGTGAGTCCAAACTTGACGCATTTATTTCAAAATACCAAAAACTTCGAACTTTCAACTTTTAATTTGGACATATTTGTCAACTTCATAAAAAATCCTTTAAAATGAGTCCAAACTCGACATACTTAACTTTGATATTAATGGAGATACAATCACTTCCGGTTTGAAACGTCAACGTCAATTTTGACATATTTGTCATCTTCATTAAAAAACCTTTAAAATGAGTCCAAAGATGACGGCCTTATCTCAAAAAACAAAAAAGTTAGAATAAAAAACATTTAACCCGAAGTTAGCAACAATGAAGGTAGCAATTTAATTTTTAAATATTAATACCAACCTTAATTTTTGATTTCTTTTTATTATATTTTTGTTTTTATAACAAATATTAAGACATTTTATAAAAATTAAGAATATGTCAAAATGACATTGACATTTCAAACCGGAAGTTGCTTATAACTCGAGTAATATTGGAATTAAACGTATCATGTTCCGACTCATTTTAAAGGATTGTTCACGACGATTACAAATATGTCAAAATTGACGTTGACATTCTTAACCGGAAGTTGACCATAATTTCATTAATATTGAAGATAAATATGTCGTGTTTGTACTCATTTTAAAGGATGTTTAATGAGGATTACAAATATGTCAAAATTGAGGTTGACATTTTAAACCTGAAGTTAGTTATCATATAATAGACAAATGGACAACTTCATGGTGTTCTTTCATGATGTATTCTTTATTAAAAAAACCTTTAAAATGAGTCCAAACAAGACGCACTTATCTCAAAAAACAAAAAAGTTAGAATAAAAAACATTAAACCCGAAGTTAGCAACAATGAAGATAGCAATTTAATTTTTAAATATTAATACCAACCTTAATTTTTGATTTTTTTTTTTTATATTTTTGTTTTTGCGACAAATATTAAGGCATTTTATAAAAATTATGAATATGTCAAAATGACATTGACATTTCAAACCGGAAGTTGCTTATATCTCGAGTAATATTGGAATTAAACGTATCATGTTTGGACTCATTTTAAAGGATTTTTCACGACGATTACAAATATGTCAAAATTGACGTTGACATTCTTAACCGGAAGTTGACCATAACTTCATTAATATTAAAGGTAAATATGTCGTGTTTGTACTCATTTTAAAGGATTTTTAATGAAGATTACAAATATGTCAAAATTGAGGTTGACATTTTAAACCTGAAGTTAGTTATCATATAACAGGAGTTTTATAACTGAAGTTAATCTAGTATTAGTCACTTTTTCGCACTTTCTTTTTATTTTTAACGTGTTTTTTGGGTCATTTCGCATTGATTAAAAAAGAAACGTCGATTTTTAAGCCATATGATGATTCTTGAATTTTTCCCATGTTTCTTAGGGCCGGTTGTACAATATACCGATAAACTTCCCAACAGCGTTGTCTGGCCGATAAGTTAGTTTGTACTGTATTACAATGTACGGTTATTTTTATCGGGGAGATTATTGACAGGATAACTTATCGGGTATTCAGAGGTGCCGATAAGGCGGTTATCCGCCAGATATGTATGGTTACCAAGGTTTTTATATAACAATATTGACAAACGTTGTCTGTCGTGAAAAAGTTTGGTTAGTTTGTTGTTCTGGAAGGAAAAAAATAAACGTACTGCTAATTATACACAATTAGGTGTATATTAGGCAATTATATTTAATTGCCTAATATACAGGTGTCTCATGAGGAATGGTACATACGTTAATATGTTATAGATTTGTTCATTTTAAACAGAAATGTTCCTAAAAACATGTGCTCAGTTCTCAAAGGTAACTGAAATACAGCTAGTTAATGCATAAACTGATTTATTTAAATGTGTACATAAAATATCGTTGGCGATTAATTGAAATTGTAGAAATTCTAGCTAATATTATAGAAAATAAAAAAACAGATGCACTTGGAAAGAGCATCAAGATATGCACAAGAGAGCATATCTTGTATTTTAGAAAGCGGCATAGCAAAAGAATTGTCAAACTTTTAATTCAACCGGCACGACAAACCGTACATGGGAACAGCTTCGCAGTAAATACGAAACATTAAAAAAAGATGTCAAGCCATTGCCAAATACCGCACTGATGTGATAGGTACTGGTGGAGGTCCATGTGAAGAAAAGTTAAACCCGTTACATGAAAGAACTAGAAATTTGATAAAACTAAGCTGCGATGGAACACCATCACAATTTGACAGTGATTGTTTAGGTTAATTATTTTACCAATTTTATAATATATGTGTTTAACTCTGTTTATGAGAAATGCATGTTTAATCTTAACTATTAATTCTTTTTAATTCTTTCTTTCTTAACTTTTTTTGGTTAACCGCAATCGTCTAAAAAAATCCGTTTCATCTCACTGCGCCATGTGGTTATTACGTTCTTTAATTCTTTTTCTTTTACCTAAAAACATTAACTAAAAATTCGTTTTAGTACTCGTTGCTGGTACTAGTATCGTACAAATTAAACATTTTTCGATATTAAATTTATTAAAATGCTAATTGCACAATTTATACAATTGTTATTATTGTCAAAATCAGTTCAAATTTCAAAGAAAGACGTTAGCGTTACCAATCTACGACACAAATGACTAAATATGGGAAAAAAGTACTACCAACCGAGTCTTATTTAGGCGATAGCAATCCTCCCGACAAAAACAGTTTGTACAACAGCGAATATCTTTATTCTCCCGATAAGTTTATCGACCGGATAGTTATCAGACAGATTTATCGGTATATTGTACAACCGGCCCTTAATCTTTTATTAATTATCTTTTATTTATATATAGTATCTTTTATTAAAAAAGAGCGCTCTTAAATTTTAACCTGTAAACTTGTAACACTTCGTCCTTAATTTCATTTTACAACTAATAATCTGATTTCGACTTTGATAGGCCCGATTGTGACGTCACGCATGGGTAGGCAACTACTATTTCATACTTTGAATTAGCAAATACTTAATTTATTCTATTCGTGTTTTGTAATTTTGTTAATTTGAGACTTAATAAGGTGGTAATACAGCCGTGGGTCTATTAAGACGAATAAACTCGAATGTTTCGAGTTCTAGGTCTAGTGTTAGTTCTAGTTTTATTATGTTTGTATTCAGTTAAATATTGTCATTTGAAACAGCTAGTCAACAAAAGATGGTGTTGGTACGAGCATGGTACGAGGTATTGGTCCGATATTGACGTCATTTTCTGGATTACAAAACGTACACTGTGTTAATTAATTATCGTACCCGACGTCAACATTGCAAGTATGCAACCAATATCACAGTATTGGTATTGCAATACGCGATTTGCGTTTTAGGTTGCATACTTACAATGGACGTCGAGTACGATAATTAATTAACACAGTGTATGTAACAGTTCTTTTAGATTCTACCGTCCTTGTCAAGTGTCAGATAACAAAATATATTGGTTCAAACACCAAATTTTCCTAAATACAAAAAAAAATAATTAATGAGTATAAAAAATAATCTAATTACCTCTGGTAATGGTTTAAGTGGTTGAATGTGTAACCCAGCACCAATATTAACAATTGCAGGAACGTTAGGTCTTATCCCATTGAGGAGAGGGTGAACATTAATAAATAATAAATCCATATTTAGAATAAATTCTAAACTAGATGGGTAATTTTCTCCGAAATTTTCTCGAATTATTTTATCGTTTAAAGGTATGATGTATAAATAGCCATAAATTCTTATAATATTAGAAACGATAAAACTGGTTAACCTCTCAAAAAAATTTAATTTTCCCGCAAATGGTAACATAAAATCAGGGTTTAAAACGGGATGAGTTGGGTTACCAATACTATCATAAGCCGCAGTTTGAGCGTCCATCGAAACAACCCCAATAAAAGGGGCGTTAAATCTCCGGGCGAAACCCCACATACACGGTTGTAAAACTTCCATAATAACTACATCAAAATGTTCGTTCTCATCATCGATTAATTTTTTGACGTCGGAGTGTTTAAGCTGTTCGTTACAGATATCGGCGTTCATTGTAATGATGGCGTTTAACATTTGTAATGGATTACCAGTCAATTCATTATATTTGGCAGAAAATTTATGTTTTTTTGTTGATAAATCATAAGAAAAATGAAGATCTATTTCGGTTAAATTCCTCAAAGATTTATCATTCATCGGATCCGTTGTAATAACTACAACCTCGTGTCCCCTCGAGATTAATTCTTTCCATATCGGTCTATAAACGATTTGATGACTGAGAGAAGCCGATGGGATAACGCCAAGAATTCGAGCACTATTCACTTGAGAAAATATTGCAATAAAACATAAAGAAAAGTACTGAAAATGACCCATTTTATTGAAACGTTTAAAGGGAACTAATCTAATTTTAGTCACCAAATTGAAACAAATAAATCATATTTGAGTCAAACCGAGATTAATTTTTTGAGGGTTTTACATCATTCTTTGATTACATATTTAACAATAATAATTTAGTTTTTTTTTATTGAATAGTGTGTTATCTATATTTAAATGAAAGTTTAAGTACCAATAAATTATATCAGATTAGATTAAATCAGAGTAAACTGTACGAAATAAAATTTGAACCACATTTTCACCAAATACACATACCGTAGTTTGGTGGGCGATTCTGAAAGACGTCATAAGAAGGGAAATTATGAACTGAACTAAATAAAATGTCCCGACTCAGAAAAACTGCAAGTGGGCCGAGCAAAGTACTAACTAAAAGAAGGGCAGCAGAGTTGCCTAACCGTATTAAATATCGCAAATCGCGTATTGCAATACCAATACTGTAATATTGGTTGCATACTTGCAATGATGACGTCGGGTACGGTAATTATTAACACACTGTATAGATAAAGTTGTTATGTAGAACAAAGCAACTATTCTCCAGAGTTAATCTTCAATGTTGATGAGAGAGGTCTTTATTTGAAGAAGTTACCAGCACGAACTTTTATTTCTGGTGATGAGCGATCTGCTCCTAGTTTTAAAGTTGCGAAACATAGAATAACTCTTTTGTTAGGAGCGAAATGAAAATGTTTCAGGGACTTTGAAACTTAAACCGATGTTAGTGTACTATTCACAGACACTACGTGCTTTGAAGGGTCTCTATAAAGATATCTTACTCGATTTGTGAAAAAAATAAATTAACACCCAAGGCACTTCTTCCCTTGGACAATGCTCCAGGACATCTCCAAAATCTGGACGAAATCAAAACACCATTGGCTGTCAAAGTTGTTTACATGCATCCAAATACAACATCTTTCTTGGAAATTTTGACAGTTTTGGACACTTCACATAAAACAGTCAAAGACTATTGGCGGTCTTTCGACATTTTAAAATGCATTAATAATGTAAAGTCGGCTTGAGAAGAAGTTTCGGCAAAATGTTTAAATGGAATTTGGCGTAAACTTCTGCCACCATTAACGCACGATTATAAAGAAGTATCACAACAGGAGAATCTACTTGAAGACATTACCAGGCTTGCAGGTAATTTGGGATTGGAAAATGTTACTGCTCAAGATGTTGCAGAACATTTAGAAGTATAAGATCAACCACTCTCAAATGAAAACCTAGAAGAATTATACAAAGAATTGGATCGTGAACAGTCAGAGGATGAAGACAACGGAGAAGAAATATCAAAAGTAATGATAACGGCCGATCTAAAACGTGTCCTTTCAACTATGGAAAGTTTGAGTGATGAATTTTGTGTATTAGACAACGATTGAGAATGAAGTGATAATGTAAAAAGGGGTATTATTGCATCTATTGGATCATATACTGAAATTCTCAATGAAAGAAATCAAAAATCCTACCTGTAATGGTAATCAACTTTATACTTGTCTCAGATAGAGTCATTACGAGTAGAATAAAGACAGGTACTTCATGTGGTTCAAGTGTATGCTCCAACGGCTGAAAATGACATCCAACATGCTCTAGATATAGATAGTGAAAAATCGAGATATCACGATAATTTTAGGTGACTTTAATACAAAGATAGGAAGATTTAAACTGGAAGACATTATTGAAGATTTTGGATTGGGATCAAGGTGTGACTCAACTTTGTCAAGTACGAGATATGGCAAATAGCAAACACCTTTTACAAGTTACACGAAAATAGCGTCGCTTGCGACCGTGGCGTTACAGTTAATATCATATTAACACAAGACTTAGTAGTGTCTGACAACGTACTGCCTTGCCTCAATTTAATATTTTGAAATACACTATATCACTGTATTAAGCTAAGGTCGCTTGCGGCCGAAGCATTACAGTTAATACCAACATAAGGTTAGTGTCAAATAACGTAGCATCTCGGCCGCAAACGGCCTTGACTTTGTACTGTGAAATACAGGACGTGATAGTATTAACCTAAAAACGGCCGAGATGCTACAGTTAATACGATAAACTGTATACAGGGTGTCCCGTTAAGGGTACGGAGCGGCTGTATCTCAACAACGGTAAGGCTTAGAGGTTTGGGAAAAAAATCCTTATAGGTAAAGTGGGCAAGAGAAATAGCTGGAAATTATTTTGAAGTTCGTAATTTGACCGCTAGGGGGCGTAACTGCCATAGAGAAACATAAAATTCCCGCTATCTCAGAAATGTAGACGATGAGGTATAACTTTGACTACATCATTTAATAGCTTGGATAATACCGCATCGCTTTTGTTTTGCAATATTTCTCATATCTGTCATAATAAGGGAGGGGGAGGCCAACGCGTTTTCAAATGTTTACATTTTAATATCTCCTGGACCATTCAACCGATTTGAATATTTTTGGTCTTGTTTGAAAGAGCATTTCATGCTCTTTTAAAAGATATTTTCAGTAAGACCGCTTGGTTTAAAACAAATAAGCTAGAGGGCGTTATCTGCAGCGGTTACATATTTTTGTGATTTTTGAAAAAAAGTTAAATGGAACGGTACTATTTACTTCACAGACCGTTAATCACCATAAAATTTGCTAAATATTAGTGAAAACCGCATCTCGATATCTCCATCCATTCTCGAATTATAAAAGAAAATGTTAAAAATTCGTATATCTTAATCGGATCAAGTTACCTTAGGAAACAAATAAGAGATAACAAAAATTTTATTATCTAGAACCTTCCTTCACACTTTATCCAAGCTTAGAACTGCTTCAAAACTACTTTT